GTGTAACTGCACCCATGTCATGCAATGCCTATGGAGGTCAGAAGAGAGGGCGTCGGATCCTCTGGAACCAGAGTTACAGATGGTTGTCAGTCACCATGTGGATGCTGGGAATCGAACACGAGTCTTCTGCAAGAACAGGCAGTGCTCTTAACTGCTGAGCCACTGCTCCAGCCCCTGGCTTCACCATTTCTTTTCTTCCAGCATCCAATAAAAATTTTAACCTGAATAGTCAAAAAACACAAAAGCCTTCAGTGCATATTCCACTCAGGCACAGTGGCTGTGCGTGCAAGAGAGACATGCATCAGCACTCCAGTGTAGAAAACATCCAGTCTGCAACCCTGGAGGCCACATCCATTCACTAGTGACACACTAAACTGATGGTGGGTCCAACGGGGCTTCTGAGCAGCCCTCTGTGCGTAAGATAAGATAAGCCAAGTAAAGTAACGTGAAATTTGGAGAGAGAATAGGCCCTAATGGTCACTAATTCTTGCTTCGTGTGTAAGTAAGTACTGGTGTTTTGCCCTTCCAGTACTCTGTTTTATTAATTGCAATATTTTTGTGTTTCATTTCCAATAGGTCCATCGGGTCTGTGTTCAGATCCTCACTTGACCCTCCTGTATCCTGCATCCTCTTTAGGACCTGCAAGACTCAGCCACTGACAATAAATAAATGGTATTCTCCTGTTCATTTCTCCCTCTCCCAGGCAGATAATAGCACTAAGCAAGGTCACTACATGTTGAATTCCATGACCCCACCCAGTCACCCTTGCTCACTTGGACTCAATGCTATGGGGTCACTGGTTGCCACTGTCCCTTTCGTTGCATCTGACTGTTATTAATCCATTCGAAACCTGTGACTTTCTTTCCTCCAACCCCATTTGAGTCCACTTTCTAAAGTGTCATGAAACACCTTAACTGTTTTCTTGTATGTGTATGGTGTTGACTGCTAGGCCTGATTCTGTTATGTGTTTGCAAACCCCACTGCACTTGTTGGGCATAGTTTGTTTTCTGTAATCTCATGGCTTTTTTATTTGTTCACTGGAACACTGCAGTCCACTATATGTTTCCTTAGTCTTATTTGGGGGGGGGTCTTTTTGAGACAGGGTCTCCCTGTAGCCTGAGCTGTCCTAGAACTCACTACATAGACCAGGCTGGCCTTGAACTCACAGAGATCCGCCTGCCTCTGCCTCCCAAGTGCTGGGACTACAGGCATGCGCTACCACACCCAGCACCTTAGTCTTATTTATCAAGTTCAAAAATCACCTATTCCCCCACTGCCTCAAAGAACCATGCACCTGATTTGTAGGTTTGGTAAGAAATGGGAACAGAGGCAGGAACAGAGCATGACCACAGGGGAGGAACGTATGTGAGGTGATGAGAAGGCAGCAGCGATGCACCTTAGTTCTTCAGTGCGGTGTATAACCAACTGTAATTTTGAAAAGGTGCTAATTAAAAGTTGAAAGGTGCTTAAAACTACAAACTCCCAATACAGACCCTGAAACATCCAAACTGACTAGCATCATCCATTGGAAAACTTCATTTGAGATGTCTTTCCAAAGGTAGATGCAGGAAATCAAGTCCCCCCAAAAAAAGAAAAAAAAAAGGAAGATTAAAAAGCATCACCCAAGTCCAGCCACCTCCATTGTCAAGCTTCTATCTTGCTTGACATCAGTGCCCCAGCCCCAAATGCCAACGTAAGTAACAGACTCAGCCTCCATTCAGAACAGATCACTTACTCTGAACCAGACATGACAGTTTCTCTCTCTCTCTCTCTCTCTCTCTCTCTCTCTCTCTCTCTCTCTCTCTCTCTCTTTCTCTCTTTCTTCCCCTCCCCCCCTCCAGTTTTCATAACTTCTCTGGCCTCTCCTGCCCTGCTACTGCTTTATTTTATTTTTATTTTTTTGGTCTTTTGAGACACGGTCTCCCTGTAGTCCCAGCTGTCCTGGAACTCACTATGTAGACCAGGCTGGCCTTGAACTCACAGAGATCCTCCTGCCT